TCAAAGACTTCAACATAAATCCAGCCACACTGAACATATTAGAAGAGAAAGTAGGAAATATCCTTGAATGAATTGGTACAGGAGACTGCTTCCTGAACATAACACTAGTAGCATAGACACTGAGATATCCAATTAATAAATGGGACCTCCTGAAACGGAGAAGCTTTTGTAAAGCAAAGGACACAGCAAGACAAAACAGCAGCCCACAGAACGGGAAAAGATCTTCACCAGCCCTACATCTGACAGAGGGCTGATTTCCAAAATATACAAAGAACTCAAGAAGTTAGTCACCAAAACTCCCAACAATCCAATTAAAAAGTGGGGTGCAGAAGTAAATAGAGAATTTTCAATTGATGGATCTAAAATGGCTGCAAGACACTTCAGAAAGTGCTCAACATCCTTAGCCACCAGGGAAATGCAAATCAAAACAGCTCTGAGATACCATTTTGCACCTCTCAGAATGGCTGAAATCAAAAGCACCAATGACAGTTGATGCTGGAGAGGATGTGGAGAAAGGGGAACACTCCTCCACTTCTGGTGGGAGTGCCAACTTGTACAGCCACTTTGGAAATGAGTATGGCAACTCCTCAAGAAAATGGGAATCAGTCTACCACAAGATCCAGCAATTCCACTCTTAGGTATATACCCAAAAGAAGCACATTCATACAACAAGGACATCTGTTCAACTATGTTCATAGGAGCACTATTTTTAATAGCCAGAAACGGGAAGCAGCCTAGAAGCCCCTCAACCAAAGAATGGATAGAGAAAAATGTGGTACATTTACACGATGGAGTACTACTCATCGGAAAAAAAACAAAACAAAACAAAACAATGGAATCTTGAAATTTGCAGGAAAATGGATGGAACTAGAAGAAACCATTCTGAGTGAAGTAACCCAGTCACAAAAAGACAAACATGGTATGTACCCACTCATATGCTGATGTTAGACATAGAGTAAAGGATTACCAGCCTACAATCCACACTGCCAGAGAAGCTAGTAAACAAGGAGGACCCTAAGAGTCTCCTGAAGAAGGGGAAAGGGACAAGATCTCCAGAGCAAATTGGGATCATGGGGGAGGGGAGAGGGAGCTAGCAGAAAGAGAAGGGGCAAGAGGAGGAAAACTTGAGGGAACATGAAGATTGAGTGGGGAGAAGACTAGAGAAGAGGAAGAAAACAGATACCTTGATAGAAGGAGCCATTATAGGTTTAAAGGGAAATCTGGCACTAGGGAAATGTTCTAAGCAGTAGTGGAGAGGCTATGTTAAAAAGACCTTCCCCTATAAGAAGATTGATGACTACCTTATATGCCATCCTAGAACCTTCATCCAGTAGCTGATAGAAGCAGAAGCAGACACCCACAGCTAAACACTGAGCAGAATTCCTGGAATCCCGTTGGAGAGAGGGAGGAGTGTTGAGCAAAGGTGTCAAGACCAGGCTGGGGAAATCCACAGAAATAGCTGACCTGAATAAGGGGGGAGCTCATAGACCCCAGACAGACTTCTCAGAAACCAGCATAGGATGGAACTAGGCCCCCTGAATGTGGGTGTCAATAAGGAGGCCTGGGAAGTCTATGAGGCCTCTGGTAGTGGAACAGTATTTATCCCTAGTGTATGAATACACTGATTCCCTATATAGGGATTCTCTCTCATCCTAGACATACAGGGTGGGCCTAGGCCCTGCCCCAAATGATGTGACAGAGTTTTATGATCCCCCATGGATACCCTCACCCTTTCTATGGCACAGAAGAGGGATGCAATGGGGGCTGGTGGGAAGCATAGGAGGATGGGAGAGAGAGGGAACTGGGATTTATACATAAAATAAGATTGTTTATAATTTAAATTAAAAGAAGAATGTTTCTTTATTGATAAGAAGTCCAGAAGTGAGAAAATTTGAGAGTTTGACTGTTCAGTTATTTAATAATAGCATCAAAGTGTAGAAACTTCCTCTCTCTTTCTGTTTCTTCATGTACAATATGAATATCACATTCCTGGCATTCAGAAAACACCCATAACATGTAGCTAACAGCCAGATAAGTGGAAGGGGATACAGGACTTCCTTGGTTCCAAACACAGTAAAATATTGACCGAGCTCCCTTGATAGACATCACTCATGTGAGTCTGACAAGAGGTTTTACTATTGTTCTGTCTTAGAACAGTAACTGACAGCAAGAATAAAGATAGCTTAAGTGGCATCCATCAATGCCCAGGCACAGCTGAGTCCACCCTTCTCAGGAGTGCAAAGCTGCCCTAACCTTGATCAGAACTGGATTTTGTCATTGATCATGCAGTGGAGTAATGGATGGATGGATAATGCTCATGTGTATGCAGGTGACTTAATGCTACAAAATTCTACTGAAGAGTAGCGATGTAACTCAGTCGGTACAGTCTAAACAAAGCTTGAGTTCTCTGTGCAACACTCTAGCCACAGGGCCATTTGCCTACTTGTAATCACAACACTCAGAAAATAGAAACAGGAGGATCCAAAGTTCAAGGCCATACTCAGAGACACAGCAAGTGCATTGGGGCCTGCCTCAAAAGGAAGTCAAAATGCAAAAATGAAGGAAGGAGAAAGTGAAGAGGGAGGGAGGAAGGGAGGAAGAGAGGAAGGAGGTGTCTATAGATTTTCTGGCCATGGATTCCTCCTGGTGGTTTTGATTTATAGTAGCTAACTTATGTCTGAGAAGCATGATTCAATAATGGCTTAGGGAGTAAGTTATCTTCTTATAAATTCATTACAAATCACTTAGAGTATAGTTAATGTGTGTGTTGTGTGTACAGTCTAGAGATATGACTAATGTTTGTGTTGTATATAAAGTCTAAATATAAATACATGTGTGGATACATAAACAGATACCAAAGCTAGGCATGTATGCTGATGACACCAGCAGGATGCACAATAGTCTGGCTGAAAAAAGCACAGATTTCAGTTGAACTTCATTTCTAATGTCATAAGTGACTTTTAAAGCTGGTGGGATAAAAGGAAATCATTTTATTTTATTAAATATAATCACTTTGACTATGTTGGCATGGTTTACATACAGGCTAAGCTGTTTGTCTATAGTTCCTACATATATGTAAATATATTTATGAGAAAATAATTCCTTCTAAATTCAGGAATTTTTGAATATCTGAAAGACAGTTTTTTCCCCAAGCACATAGATGTCCAAGGGAATTAACAAGAACTCAAATGCCCATTAGGCATGTATTCTGCAATGAGTTTCACACACTGGGAAGACCAGTAGGTCTTCATGGCTCCTAGAACTGTGCAGGGTAGCTGTGCTATTTACCATTCTATTATGGTTTTAAAGTTTCCAGTGTGTCATATGTGGTTTCTTAGTGGTTGATATGTTTGGGGAGGTCCATTTCGTGTTCCATTCATGGAAGTAACAATCAAGGAATCAATCTGCTGTCAATGTTAAATTGTTTTATTTTTATTTCTAGCCACTATAAGGCATCTGAAGTATATTTGGGAAAACAGCCTCACTGAGATTGTATCATTTCTTTAAGATAAAATTACTGCGTAAGAAATTGCCCCGCTGAAGGACATTCATATTTCAAAGAATTTGATTCAAATTTCGCGTGAGAAAGTCTGCATGAATCCTTTCTCTTTTTCTCACACCTTCCTCAACACCACAGATAAATAATGGTCACAATTTCCTTGTGGGGAAGTTCCTATTTCACTCCTTTGATGATTTTTGAATTGTGTTGCTTGTTTTGTTGTTGTTGTTGTTGAGATTTAGGAGTTCTTTATCTATTCTGAATATTATTCCTTGATTGTGTACATGGTTTGCAAATCCTTTCTCCTATTCAGTTCACCACCTTTTTACTCCTGAACTTGAATGAACTCTAGGATCAGCCCCATGGTTTTTAAAGGCATAGTAGACAAATACCACAAAATACACTTGGGTTTGTAATTAATATCTCCAATCCAATAGGATCATCATGGTTGTTGTCTTCATCCTCTTCCTCCTCCTTATTTCCCTTCTCCTCCTCACTATCATCATCCAGTGTTGGAGGAAGAACTAACTTGAAGAGTGTAGCATGAAATTTCTAACTTGACAAATATCCCTGGAGTGATCTAGTTTCCAAGTGTTTATCCCCTTTTTTTGACAACACATTTTTAGTTCCACTGGAGGTGTCCTATGTGTCAGACAGTCCTTGTACCTCTCCACATCTTCTTGTGTCAAGTATCTTTTGTTTCAGTCATTGTCATGGCAACCATAAATTCAGGACTCACATGGTGTCTTTGTCCCTTGCATTCTGTGCTGGGATTTCCTGGTGCTGGATGAATCATACATCTGAGAATCTGCCTGCTACACAAGTGTGATGCTTTACTGGTAGGTTCCTTCTCATTGTCTCTCATGTGAACAACTCTTGAGATACATTCTACCTTGCTCACAGGAGGCCGAGGGAAATTTGTGTTCAAGTGACAACAATCTACCTCAATAACCTACTTGTGTGGGTGTTCTGCCTTTTGTGTTCTTGTTCTTTTGTTTCTTCTTCTTCTTCTTCTTCTTCTTCTTCTTCTTCTTCTTCTTCTTCTTCTTCTTCTTCTTCTTCCCTGATCCGCAACTATTTTTCTTCTTACTCTTACTCACATTACAAAATAAGCTGCCTGTATGTAAACCATTAGCCAACCTCTGCTTTTAAAAAATAATCCGATAAAAACAGCATGATTTCCTGTGACATAAAGACTCAGTCTATAGTAAGATATGGTGACAACATGCCTATAATCCAAAAAGCCCAGTACTAGAGAGGCCAATATATGAAAAAGACCATTACATGTTTGAGGTCAGCCTGGGTATATAGTGAGATTTAGGCCAGATTGAGCTACATATAAGACTATTTGAGCAACAACAAAAGTTGTGGTTACACTTCTCTTGGAAAGTGTTACATTTTCCCAGCTGATGCCTACTTACCCCCTTGACCCTTTGACATCCTGTAGTAGTATATTTACAACTTCCTTGAGCTCAAGTTTCTTATTTCTCTTTTTTGGCAGGATTCCTGGCATCCCAAGTTGACCTTGACCCTGCCAAGTAGTTGAAGATGGCCTTGAACTTCTGATACTTCTACCTTCATGGCCTCAGTACTGAAATTATAGATTTGTCTTCCACACCCAGCTGGCTTTGTTTGTGTGTTTCTGCATTCTTTTTGGACAGAATCTAAGATAATCCCCATCCCAGTGCTCTGTGAAAGAGCCAGGTTCACAAATTTTAAACAAGTAACTAAAACAAAGACTTAAAACACACCCATTTGTCTTTGGTCTAGGGCTGGCTAGCTTGCCACATGCTGAAGTTTTCAAGAATATCATGAAATGGTAAAGCCAATAAAAGGGCTAACATGAAGCCTTCCACATGGTCCATCTACAACTCACACCCCACTCTGCATGGTCTCTTGGAGAGCAGGTTTCATAGTATCCCAACAGCTCTCTTGAAAACATTATCCTTGCACTTCATCTTTTCCCCCTCATCTGTTTCACTGTTTATCATAGGCTACAGGTATTGGTAATGATTTAGACCTTCTAAATCAACTATTAGATACTACTTTCCATGTCCTATATAAAGTCCCATCTTGATTAGATGCATAGCTTTGAGGTCTTGGGACAATCATAGTAATATTACATGTACAAAGGATGGAAACTTCAGGTTCTGAGCTCTAAGGTCTGTCATTGGGGATAGAATTATGTGACTGTAGCAATGGGCCCCAGTGCGCAGAAAACAGGCAGAAAAATGACAAGATCTTAAATGTAAGTTCATTCTCAGCTTCAGGAATAGCAGACTTGGAACTGAAGACTGGCTTTTCAGCACTTCAGTTCTTGTTTAGCTCTTTGTTGGGGATTGAAAACATAAGCATCCTCTCTTGTGACTCTGTTTGCACAAGCTCGCCATAACTCTTTCTGTATTTGGGGGCCTCAATAGAGAGAGAAAAGGATGATCAAACTGATGAAGAGAGAATAGGGAAATAAATAGAGTAATTACGAGCTAGAGTAACAAATACTACTTAGGCAGATACCAATTATTTCTACAAAATCCACAATTTATGGAAAGAAATCTCAATGTTTACATATTGATCAGCTTTTATTCATACCCAAAGAGAATACTTGTAATAAAGATTTCTCACAGTTTGGGGGAGTGTATTACATTGATGTGTCAGATTGCTGCTCCGTTTCTTCTTATTTTCACCACAACAAAACAGCTTGTTGGAGGCAAATATTGTGTTTACAATCTCTTTATGAATGAATGAATTGAAGGGAGTATCCAGGTTCTGTTCACTGTCTGACTGTTCATTCGAATAAAATAAAAGCAAATTTGGGGAACTCTTGGAACAAATCCACTGATGAAGTTTTGCCATAACAAGTAGACTTTTCTGAACTTAGAGACATCCAGCCATTCCCTTCTTATTATGAATGAGAAAACCAAGGACATGGGCAAATTGCAAGAAATTGTCCTTAACTCAAATGCCTTATGGGTCCACATCTAGCATTATTCCTAGTTACCATGTATAGAGAGATTTGAACAAATGGCTCTATCTGTAAGTCTTGGAGAAAGGTAACATTGTTCTCTGGAATAGAAAAGTTAGTTTTAAAATCCACATAATAGATTGCCCAAGTTACAAGTGGAAGGCTGAGCATCAGCTCCCAGGTTTTATTTACACATTTTTGTTGTTATTTTGAGACAGTATGTTATGTAGGTAAGGCTAGACTTCCTCTGCTGTCCAGGTGGGAGGACTAAAGGGCTGAGGCACCACAACTGGTTCTTCTTGACTTTTAGCTGAGAGCTATTGCCCAATGTTTGTAGATCATCAATTGGGGTCATACAGTAATGTTTACTGACTTTTTCCGTGTCACCTCCAGCTGCCAATCCCTCCACGTCTGAGGCAGTGCTGGGGGAAACAGGTCACTAAAGTCCATCTCCAATACTTCCCCTTCCAGTCTCAGATCTGAGTAAGATAAAAATCCAGCTTGATTCTCCTCACTTTTCCCTTAGGGTTGTAGAGACTGTCTTCCCTAAAGATATGGTTATAAGCACCATGAAGTGACATGTCCTTTCAAAGTTCATGAGCTCAGAGATAAAGTTGAGGCTGTTTGTGGCATATTCTGATGGTCAGGGACTTGGAACAGGAAAATAGGGGTATACATATCACTCAGGACATGTGTCTGCAAGAGCATGAGGAGCATATCATACGGCAGAATCTCCTCCATCATCACAGAAATGTACAGCACCATTTCTGGGGGGTGAGTGTAGGTGATGAGGTGGAGGCGGGTACTTCCTGAAACTGAGTCGATGGTTAGACCACATGGCCATTCACATGTGTGGAGATGGTGTCCGTCACTGAACACCATCCTGCCTCTGGGATGAGCTGATGAAGTCCTACTTCGGGTTATTTTAGAATAAGTAATTGAATGCTTGTGAGAAAAGTATGTACCATTCACCTATGACAGGTACAAGCATTTCAGTACAGGAGGTGATTTGTGATCTGAAGAAGTTAGGCTACAACTTTAAAAATGATTGTGTCTGTGTGCCTGCGCACACATGTGCAGGTGCCACAGTGCACATGTGGAAGATGGGGGACAGCTCTTGAGAGCTGGGTCTCTCTGTCTACTATAAGGCTAGAACTTGGGTTGAGCTGGGTCTCTCTATCTACTATATGGGCTAGAACTTGGGTTGAGCTGGGTCTCTCTATCTACTATATGGGATAGAACTTGGGTTGAGCTGAGTCTCTATCTACTATATGGGATAGAACTTGGGTTGAGCTGGGTCTCTATCTACTATATGGGATAGAACTTGGGTTGTCAGATTTGGCAACAAGCACTGTCACCTGCTGAGCCACTAGTGCCATTGTTTATTTAAAACCGGCGGGAAGGAGTCATGCCTTACAACAGGGTTACTGGACAGAGAAGAGGGCAGAGACCAGACCTTGGGGACAAGGAGAGAGAGAGAGAGAGAGAGAGAGAGAGAGAGAGAGAGAGAGAGAGAGACTGCCTTTTAAAGGATAATGTAGCAAATGTGCACAGGAGGTGTTCTTAGTGGCTGAAGCTGAGAATGTATCCCATCAGGACGCCAAGGGCAGGCCAGTACAGATGTCTGACTACTAATTACAAAGGGGTAGCAGCATGAGGACACAGTGTTACAGTGTTCTCAAGACTGCTTCCTGCTGACCTGGATGGGGGGGGGGGGGCTGGTGTTGATCATGTTTGTGTTATCTGAGAAAGTTGAGGTACTGGCCACATCCTGGGGTAGCTGGCTGTCTCACTTCATTATCCAGGCCCTACTGTCAGGCACTGCTTGAAGTCTCTTTAAAATCAAAAATTACAATTTTTTAAAATTTGTGTGTGGGAGGCACATGTATAAAGTGGGAGTGTGATTTTTTCCTTCTGCTATGTGGGGCCCAGGGATGGAACTCAGGGTACCAGGCTTGGTGACAACTGCCTTTACTTGAAGAGTCATCTCATGTGTGGTGCCTCTCTTTGACAGATGTGTAAATCTGGGGCTAAGGATTAAAGGTATGTGCCTGGCTTCTATGGCTAACTAGTATGGGCTGATTTGCTATTTCGATCTCCAGTGGCTTTGATAAATCATAAACAATATATCACCACAATTGAAGAAATCCAGAGAATCATAAGGACATACTTAAAAAAACACATACTCCACTAAATTGGAAAATCTAAAAGAATTAGATTGTTTTCTAGATAGTACCACTATCTAAAAGATAAAATAATCAATTTAGATAGAGTTATAACCCCTAGCAAAAGAGAATGAATCATTAAAAGTCTCTCAACCAAAAGAGCCAGACAGTTTTAGTGCAGAATTCTACCAGACTTTCAAAGAAGAGTTAACACCAATACTCCTAAAATTATACCACAAAATAGAAACAGAAAGAACATTGCTCAATTCATTTTAGGAGGTCACAGTCACTCTGATACCCAAACCACAAAAAACCCCAACTAAGAAAGAGAATTACAGACCAATTTCCCTTATGAATGTAGATACAAAAATATTCAATAAAATAATTGCAAATGGACTAAAAACACATAAAAAAGTTCATCTACCATGATCATGTAGACTTAATCCCAGAGATGCAGGGATAGTTCTATATATGAAAATCATAATCCGCCATATAAACAAACTGAAAGAAAAAATTCACATAATCATCTCATTAGATATGGAAAAGGCTTTTATCAAAATCCAACACCCCTTCATGATAAAAGTCCCAATGATATTAGAAATATCATAGACATACCTAAACATAATACAGACCATTTACAGCAAGCCTATATCCAATATCAAATTAAATGTAGAGAAATGCCAAGCACTTCTACTAAAATCAGGAACAAGACTAGGTTGTCCACTCTCTCCATATCTATTGAAAATAGTATTTGAAGCTTTATCTAGAGAAATAAGACAACTGAAGGAGATCAAGGGGATATAAATTGGAAAGGAAGAAGTCAAGGTATTATTGATACAAACTGCAGTTCAACATCCTTAGCCACCAGGGTAAAGCCATCTTACACCTGTCAAAATAGCTAAGGTCAATAACACAAATGACAGCTCATGTTGGCAAGGATGTGGAGCAAGGGTAACACTCCTCCATTGATTGTGGAAATACAAACTTGTACAACCACCATGAACATCAATATGGAAGCTCCTCAGAAAATTGGGAATCAATTTACCTGAAAATCTACCACACTTGGGCATATATCCAAAGGACACTCCAACCTAACACAAGGGCACTTGATCAACTATGTTCACAGAAGCTTTATTTGTAATAAACAGAACCTGGAAATAACCTAGATGCCCCCTCAGCTGAAGAATGGATAAAGAAAATGTGGTTTATTTACACGAGGGAGTATTACTCAGCTGTTTAGAAAATGACAGACTGGGGCCAGAGGTCTGCCTGCTGTTGTGCAGAGCAGTAGGGTGGAAGACAGAGTTTCTGGGTGCCACTACAATGAGCAAATGGGAGGTGGAGAAGTGGGAGAGAAAGAGAAGCAGAGCTATTCATGTGCTGTGGGCCCTGTGGTGTCTGTAACTGAGGACCATGTCTGTGGTTGTGACCTTACTGCAGCCAAGATCTGTATTGATGTTTGTGGCCTCTGTTTTCTTTCACCAAAGGCCACAC